CCATATAACATTATATTTTTTTGATATACCTGAGCAGGGATGGGCAACCCCAGCCCTTAAGGTCCAGGGTTCTAACATTTTCTGATGGCTCCCCGCTCCAACTACCCCGAAAAACTACCCAAACTCCTGGGACCTTTTTGCTGATCAAATAAATCAACCAATTGATTCAGGTGTGTCGGGCCAAGAACACATCTTAAAGTTGCAGCACACGGACCTAGAAGGACTGGATTGCCTATCTCTTCCCCAATTTATGACTGGTGACACTGATCATATTTTTTTCAGAACTTTTTTAGCCATGCAACAAATTATGACGACACATTAACAATAATTAAAATATTTCACAAACAATTTTAACCAGCTGTAAATTAAAAAAAGACACATAAAACACTCTAAACATTCATATGAGTGAGGGCGTTAATATAATATGTTGTCATCAATTATTCCTGCTGCACAGAACAAAGGCTCCACAAAATGACAACAAAGGAGCCGAGAGGTCACTTATTCCTTGAGTGGGAACACGTTTTGGCAGCTAGGTTTTGTTTCATATCTTTATGTTCTTGATTTTATTCCCTTAGTGATTATAAAACATTTTGATGATGTAAAGTAATCCCACAAAAGTAGCCACAGATGTAAAACTGACTTTATAACTTTGTGACAAGTTGCAATGAATTGCACTGTAGGAGCCTGTGGCAAGAAAATGCACAAGCTAAAGATGTTGTAATGTGAAGCATAGCATGGGAACTTGACAGGCGTCACTGTGCAAATGAAAGTGATCTGTTGTGAGGCTATCAGAGTGAAAGTGACAGAGGCAGACACACTGGAGCTCACACATGCCCACAGCAAACAGATACAATCCGTCAGATAGAGCAGGCTGACAGCAGATCCTCTGGTGGACTGAGCAGTGTCGTTGAACTGGGAGGAAGGTATGGTAGAGGTATTGGAAAAGAACCGGAGCACAGAGGCGACACTGTGATCAAAGTCTGAACACAATGCAGGCTCCCAATATGCCAGAGCTTAACAAGGAAAACAACTCAGAGTACGCCCACACTGAAAGTACATTATTGGTAACAGAAAATGCTTCTCCCTCCCACACGGTGGGCTTTGTACACAAGATCTAAATGCATGATCTGCCTCTTCCTCATGCTGCCTCTCCTTTTTCCTCCAACCACTTTTTGACTGCACAGACCAGCTAAACAGCTAACAGGAGTAAAAAGTCACAGTAAGAGATGAAAAGATAAAGAAATAACTAACTCTATTTAGACACTTCTCAAAAAACTCATTCATACTTAGTGATGGAAGAAAAAAGTGACAATAAAAACTTACCCAGAAAAGGAGGTTGAAGAAGACCATTCCATAGCGCAGGGCCATCATGCAACCCTCAGCCATCCTGCAGCGCCGCAGTTCTAGAAGGAATATGAAGGAGAGGTCCAGGTAAAACACCACATACTTCTTTCCCTGGGCGTAGCGCCCGTTGGAGTTCTTTGGCCCCTTTGTTGTGTGAAAGCCGAAAGCAAAAGGAGGTCTCTTATACTCAAACTCCCCACTGAATCGGTGAAAACCAGAAGTGAATGGTGGAGTGTCAGGTTTGCTGTCCAGAGATGGACTACGTCGGTACGGGGTTTCATCTGTGCTTGAGCGTCTCATTGTGGGAGTTTATTCAGCCTTTGAAAGTGGTTAATATTCACTCTGTGTGCTTCAGCTTTGAGGTTAGTCCACAATAAGGTACCAGGAGTCACTCCCCCGAGAGCAGAGCAATAGACTTTGAGATAATTATGACCCTCTGACAAACACTGGAGCTGCTGGTTCAATTATTCCATAAAATGGTCCCACTACCTAAACTGACCTTGTCTTCAATCCTTTAGAGTCATTACATTCAGCAGCAAACCTGGCACACACTGGGGACACCACCTGTAAAATCTGCAACTCTGTTTCCCCTAGCGTAATCCCTCAAACACAGGTGACGTGTGCTGTGAGATAAGCCGGTCTGCAGTTTCATCTCATAATGCTTCAATCAGGGGAATGACCAAAGAGCTTAACACATCCCCATCTGCGTGGAGCAGCCAAAATGATCCAGAAATGTCCTACCTGATCTCATGAGAAGTTCCAGAACAGGTGCTCATATCCAGCAACTAATGACACCTCTACAGTGGCTATATTAACTTCTTACACTCAGTAGCTGATGAGATGGCTGAGAATGCAACACAGCGCTCTGATCCTAGGTGCATGTGAGTGTTCAGCATGTGAATGTGGCTGATGAGGTGCTTTTGCTGACATGCAAAAAGGAAGATTTAATAAAACACAAGGAGATGAGAGTTGAGGATGCCCCTATAGATGTAAGAGGAAGGTTGGTAGGAGGGATGAAAAGGTGAAGGACGCTTGAGACTGGACCATTCTATGGCTTCCTAAAGTGCTATCCCTGTGGAGTTACTGCCTTGCCTAATTTCCTCCTCGCTTCACGCGTCAACCCAAACTTGTCCCTTTTTGTTTCTGTGAAGTGGCCAGAGGTTACTCTGCGCCTCTTCCCAGCCTATTCTCCACACGTATAGAAGTCACCTCTTCAACTCAGTTATTCTATCAAGCGTGCCCCTCTCTGCGCTCCCCCTCTGCGCTGACGGCGGGTAATTAATTTCCAGACTCTCATCAGAGAGGCAAAGTGTGTGGTGTCGACTCCTCTTGTTTCCCCCTCCTCCGCTACAGCTTGTTTCTCCTCTTCTCTAGGTGGGTAAGGAGATCAAGGTGTCCATCAGGGTCATAGCAACGCAGCCATAGAAGAATGAGTAAGAAGGAGAGTTAGGCAGCCAGAAGGGGAACACTGTTTCCTCAGAGAAGCAAAAGAAAGACTGCAGTGTTTCAGTGGTGGTCCAGAATCGCTCCCAGAAGCTCCCTCCCTCTTTCTCTCTCTCTCTCTCTTTCGATCTGCCCCCCTCCCGCTTTCCTTCTCTTTCCTCCTTTTTCTCACAAGCTCCGATACTCTCCCCACCACCGCACCAACTGGCTCAAACACTCCATCCCTCCTCAGTCATTGTGCCCGAAACCTGCCTGTGCGAAAGGCAGGCATTCAAATTCTAGCCACACCCCAGGAAACCTAACAACCAATCAAGGTCTTGCATCTCCCATCTTCTCTCCCGAGCATGCCACCAGATAGCACTTTGAACACACAAATTCAGGCGTGCACAAACACATACACAGAGAATGGTGTTGTTTTAACATAGCAGAGCTGAGCAGCAGTCTGCAGTCGTATCAGTCTTTCGTCTTCCTCCTGCTGTCCTCACTGCCTCTCATTCCACATGCAGAGGTTGTTCCTACTCACTAACCAGACTGCTCTCTGCAAGCTTGGATTCAGGCATGCCCCCCACCCCTCAACACCAACTCCCTCCAGACCTGGATGCGGGTCACCTAATATCGGTGTAATATTGGTGTATCTTCTCTCATCACAGATTTTCACACCACAGAACAGCTCACCTGAACCCTGACTCTGTAGAAGCATAGAGAACAACTCACATTGCTGCTGACATTCACACAAAAAATGCTGCACACTCCCTCCTCTAGCCATTTGGGTCACTGGTTTTATGAGTCCACAAGCAGATATCAAATCTGCAGAGTGCAGACTATATTAATGGCTGCATCAAGTATTTAATGGATCTCTGCTTTGTCTACTGAGTGTACTCAACAGCGTGCGGTGTCAGACTGTAAAAGAAGCAGCACTCTGAGATAGAGTCTGACTTTTTGACATATTGTAAAGAGCATGCATGCCCATTGATTAAAATAGTGTAAAACTGCAGGGCATCAGAAATTTTTTTCAAAGTTAATACATGTGAGTATTTCTTTATTAATGGAGAAAAACACTGAAAAATGAACCTGCTGTTGCAGAAAGCTTGCTACAAAATCATTGATTATTTTTAACAACTAATAAAAACATATCCTGTAGTTATTTATCAAAGGTGATAAGTTACACTAGTGTGAAAAACTTTGCTAAGAGTACATAAAGTTGGAGGACACTGCTGCTACATATGGCTTATTTTATTCAAGGAAGTTACATTTTAGAAATTAACATTTATAATGATAGAAACAGCCCACAGACTTTTCTAAATGCATCTTTTTTACATCTGAAATGGTTCTAAGGCAGTAGGTGTGCCAACTGACAAACTGACCTGAATGAGCAGATAAAATAATTAGTTTGGTGGCTAAGAATATGAATGCAGAAAAAAACAGACAAATCAATAATGAAAATATTCACTCTCTAGTTTATCTAATCCAAGAGGGAATAATCAAAAACACAGCCTGAAGATATATTTGAGGGCAACATTCAAGTCCACAAATTTGTTTGTTTCAGTTAATTCCCCTGCACCTGAATAATATATCAGCATTCTGTTTGAGCTCTTATTCTATGAGCTGCATTGTTGTGAAACCAGTATGAAGATTGTTTTCAATAGTTTTAACCTGAAATACAAGCTTTAATTGTTCCACCGAGGGAAGGACACAATAACCTCCTTTCCCAGTCATCCCTTTATTGCTTTTGGTGGAGCCAAGAAAAGGGGGACAGCAAGCTTTGTTTAACCCGTTATCAATCACCAGATTAACCTCTTTCTTAAACCCTAAATCTCAAGAGAGACTGAGACATCCCTTCCTTTTAAAAAGCCATTGTCCCATTAAACCAGTGTGCACTTAACACAGGACCTTATACGCAACATGGAGTCTCCATCTTTGACTCCCAAAGTTAGGAATCAACAAGTAGGTCCAAAGGTCCTTACAGAAATTAAACTAATTAAAAAGGTAAAACATATTTATGTGGCAGTCTTTAAAGATCTATAAAAAAAGCTGAGAAATAAACAAAAACAAAAACAAATGCATTGGTTGTCACTGCTGTTGGTATTATTATTGTAACAACGGTTGATTGAATGTTGTAGAAATACTTGTAGATTCAACTTATAGTTTACTGTAGGTCCTGAGTAGAACCATTCTGGTGGTATTAGTGGGCGAGAAACTGAAAGGTATGAAAACTTCTGGGCTACATCTTCCAGTATCATCAGAGATGGCAAAAGTACTCACTTTCCGTACTTGAGTAAAAGTACAGATACTTGTGTTAAAAAATACTCTGGTAAAAGTGGAAGTACTGATTAAACTTCTTTACTCAAGTAAAAGTAACAAAGTACAGGCTTGTAAATTTACTTAAAGTATAAAAGTAAAAGTAGAAACCACTTTTTTCATGTCGTTGCCTACATTTTAAATGGATGTCTGCCAATAGGACTAGATCTCCATTGTGTTCATTTTCAATCATCTCGTCTTCCATACTACTATGCTAACGCCACCGCCACCAAGCTGCAATGATTTGCCGCCAATGAATACCGCCGAATCTGTCGATTCATCTTGTAGTGGTGCGTCAAATGCAATGTAGATTCCCATCCAATTAGATTGAATTTGGTATTGATGACGTGAAAAATAATAAACGGTAACTCCATTGAAATGATTCAAAACTAAAGTAACGAGCCAATTTTTTAAAATGTAAGGAGTAGAAAGTACAGATATTTGTGTAAAAATGTAAGGAGTAGAAGTAAAAAGTCGCCATAAAAATAAGTAATAAAGTAAAGTAAAAATATCAGAAAAATCTACTTGAGTACAGTAACGAAGTATTTGTACTTCGTTACTTCCCATCTCTGAGTATCATAAATCATAACCTTTTACAAAATCACATCAACCACTCAGCATCAGTAGCTATTAAAGAAATACCTGTCCTTTATTGTTTATGAGTTGATTTCTAACACAATTTTGAAAACAATTAACAAGACATTGCAAGTAAAAATTGAATAAATGGAATCACTCACAATGGTGCTCATTATGTTAAGCATCTTTCTTACATGTTTTTACGACTTTTGATCAAATATTGTGCGTGCACTGATATTCCGCTGGTTTAAAAGCTTGAAATCATATTAATTAAGCAACACCCTATCAGTTCTATCCATACAAATACAGGCCAACAGACATTTAAGATCAATAAATTAATTTAATCTAATTAACCGCTATCTTTAGACACATAATGCTTGCTAATAAAAACACTAAAGTGCACTACTGACTAAATCGGACTGTGTTTTCATAAAATGTTCTTGCATCTGTTTATTTACCTTGTTAATTAACTGCTGTTTGAAAATCTTATCACATTAATATCAACCCCGTCCCCCCGTCAACCCCCACCACTCCACCCCAACCTCACTAAAAAAGCAAATTCATTATATTGAATTAACAGACTGTGAATAAAATATGCTATGGCTGTGTTTGTAAATTAGATTTTACTTTCTACTTTTTGTAGCGACATGGCAGAACATTGTGATGTTTCTACAAGTATTACAGTTACTGGTTAAATTTAAAGCCTGCTGGAGAAATCTTTTAAGAAATGGCGCTTTCACTATTGTAGCTTCTGGGCAATTATGTAAGAACACACTGTTGTGCAGAGGATCCCAAAAAGATAGCAAAACTGTACAATCTAGTTGATGATTATCACTCAAACAGCTTTCAAATGTGTGTGTAAATCTATCAAATTGTACATTTAATCTCAATATTTACCCAAAGTCTGTGCATAGTAAATTTCAAACATACACTTGATGGCCGCAGCGGAATAATGAAAGAGTAATGCAGATTACATAGTTTAAAAAACGATATATGCTCACTACATTGACATGTTTAACTAAAAAAAGTTAATCAAAGTCCAGTTTAAATGGTCAATAGGTCTCAAAACCATTTCAAGAAAAATTATATCTTGTAGACAGACAAAAGGTCATTTGGGTGCTAAATATCGACAAGTCAGGTCTAGTGTGCAGATTAAGAGCCGTTCCAAGAGTACAATAAATAAAATGTTTAGAGAATTGGACTTAGACTAAGACTTCCTTTATTGTCATTGCACAAAAAAACACAAGGTGAATCTTGACAATGAAATGTCGATTACTTGGCTACCAGTGTAACAGAGGTAAGACTTATTCCTGCACAATAAATGTTTTCTATAACTAAAAGCTAAGAGCTAGCTATATAAGGATAAGGAAGTATATATATATATATACATATATATCACACTGAGTTATTGCAAGAAGTAGCATCAATAAATATTACACTGTGTTATTGCTAAAAGAAACATTAAATTGAAGATAAAACTAAACTAAGGTGCGTATATTGTCCATGTCCATGGGGATTGGTTTAAAAGAGTAAAAAAAGACTAAACATTATATATGTTCGATAAATAAAAAAAAAAACTAAGATGCCTTTATAAACAATAGATCTCTACACTCACCAGCCACTTTATTAGGTACACCTATCCAACTGCTCGTTAACACTT